CTAAATTTTGATTGTATTGTGACCAAGTTTTGTATGCGGGCTGGAGTGCATTAACAAATCGACATAAATCGTCACCGACGACGACACGAAAATAATTATTTTACTTCAAAGTACTTTGTAAGTACGTATATAAGTAAGAATATGTTTTTAACAGACTTCAAAAAGGAGAAGGTTCTCAATTAAAGAAAATATTATCTACATCTCTACCGTTCTTCGGAAGGCACGTATATAGCGTTAGTCCCGGTTGAATCTGCAGTCTAGTACACACTTATCATCACTCTGCCCACGTGGTGGTTTATGGCCCATCCTCCTGGTTTTTTGAACTGACAAAAGGCTGATTTTGATGATATTTAAAGTAAGTCTATCTGTTATTTTGTCGAATAAGATTTTCTTTAATATTAAGACTAAGTGTGTATATGAAGACTGACTCATATGTGTAAGTATAGTGTATACAAATCATCTAAGTCATGTCATGCATGGCACATTTGATATAGGTACAGCAAAATTAAGTAATCCAAAGAAATATTAGTTTTCATTATATCAAAATGTACCTAAGATTGTACTTTTTAGAGTATGAAGCTTAGGTACATAAAAACAGTACCTCATGGAAATGTAAAACTAATATCTATGAAAATGAGACGCGACGCTACACCAGGTGCAGCAAAAAATATTTTAATTATGATATGTTCGCGTGTCACCTAGTTCTGGCGTATTTCAACTACTACACATAGGGGCACCTTTCAACCCTTGCAAAGTAATTAATGCGTGCTTGCACCCGACCCTCGGGATGCGGGTCCGGGAATCTTTGTTTACACGAAAATGCAAACATTCTTGAAATTTTATTAATGTAGTAATAAATTACATTTGCGGTGCAAGTTTGTCGTAGTTTTCATAAATATTTGAGGTGATTTCCTGTAACTATCCATGTTAAGGATATATAAAACCGAAAAGACCAAATAGGTAAGCAGTAAATTTTTATTTTTGTTGTTAACTCTGTTCGAATATTTTTTAAGTAGTGTAACCTTGTAGTTTACCTAAGGGGTTTCTAGTTAAATTTTGGGAGTTCTGTTTAACTGTGGGTTTAGGTAGGTACATATCCTATTTAGATAGATAATTCTTTGTTGAACACAGCACATTATATATTACAAAGTAAGGACAATAATTTAAAAAGGTGGACAATTGGCGTTCTTATGGCTATGTAGCTATTTCTTCCAGACAACCATAGGATGGAGAGTCGAAATTTAATAAGAAAAATAGAAAAAAAGAAAACAAAGTATAACCATGATTAACATTACTGTTCATATTATAAAATAGAAACTGATAAAAATTCAAATAAACAAGAACAAACATCGGTACATAAAATATACATTGTTAATAAATTTAATAATAATAATATGATGCAAGCAGGAACAGGGAGAATGCATGGGAACAACACAAAAAAATATTGTAAAAGGAAAAATTACTACAATAAAACAAAAAGGGAAGATTTAGTTCAGTTATTACTAGATAAGTTAAAAAATCTTATAAAATGAGTTGGATAAAGAGCTTTACCCAAGCTATGCATATATATAATCACAATATAATAAAAAGTATTGCAATCTGGGAAAAAGAAAGGCCCTACATTATTAAGTCCACAACAATTTTATTCTCTTTGCCAGTGTAATGGGATTTTTAATCCTAATTGAGAGGATTAACTCCGATTGCGTTCGGAAAGAGCTACGCAACGGGGCTGTTTATTTATGAATTCACTTCACAACCACAGTTGGGGTGTAACCGCGCCAGAAATCATCCCACTGATCCCTTACACTTCCCGGCGACGAATAAATAACGCAATTGTACGAACGATAACGCTCCCCGTGTCGATTTAGCATTTAGAAATTTAAGTAAATACTCAACCAAGTATATTCTCTTCCCTGCAAAATCTCCTTTTAGAAATGAATACTCTAAAATAGTAAAAAAAACTAGTCTAATTGACTTTACGAAATTATGATTGAAAAATACATATCTTCGTTATTCATGATTTTATTTAAAATAATAACTTCAGTGTTCTAATGAAATTTTCCAAATCAATGTTTTGATTTGAATATATTAGGAGCACCTCTGGTATGCAAAGAATAAGAATTTGAAAACGCAATTCGATCACCATTTAGAAAGCTTTTAGATGGCGATCAATTGCTACGAAATTGAAACGAAAGGTAATGAACCGATTAATAATATATCTTTGAATAGGTTGTTTTTCCTCACTTAATAAATGGCAATGTACTAACATATGTAATTATTTTAACGATGTGAATGATAGTATAATTATAAATATGGTTATTATAAATAGTTTTACGACTTATGTTTTCCTTTAACGAAAGTAAAAAAACTAACAAGAGAAAGGTCCAAATAGTTTTATAAAGGTATTTTAATTGGTTATGAAAGAAACGTAAATTATGTATATAATAATATATTTTATATATATTTATTAATGTATTTAAAACAATGTATAAAGACTTCACGAAAAAGTCATAACTTAAACTACATTAATAAATCTAAATAACGATAAATGTTACTGAACTTTACGTGACGACGCATAATTGCATTTCCTGAGATTTTTCCGTAGTAATGTATATTTTTTGTAAACCATCAGAAAGTAGTTTGTAGCTTTTTTTCGGGAGTTTTTTTTCGATTGAAAATAAGATTACTTATTTGAGATAATATTAAAATAAAGAATAATAATAAATATTTTCTATCACTAAAATAAGAGAGTCTTTGGGTTAAAAAAGAGTAAGTTTCCACCAAATTTCGTGAAAAAAGAAGTTTTTTTTGTGAGAGATAGTAATAATAAACCTATACGTCCGTTATTTTGATTTTCCACAGATATTTGTAGGTTATGTGAAAAATGTGTAAACAGAAAAGTTGTACTTAGATCACAAGATTCAAATCTTTGACTTAAATTTTATTTACAACCTGCAACTTTCCCATTCATTTTTTTGGGTAGGATTTGTAGTTTTTCTGACAATCACGATAAACCATTTTCCTCCTTTAAAAACTCATCCACTTATCCATTCGGACCTCAAATCGCTATTTTTTTCTGTTTTTTATAATAAAATTATACTTATGTAATTACTATTTAAGGCTTTCTTTCCAACATAACAAAACACAACACACATTTTCCAACTTGCCGTCCAGATAAAATAATGAATAGCATAATATTAACTGAGAAACTCGGAAAGTGCTTGCAACCTGTGTCATCTGTCATTATTTTTTCCGAATTTAGACTCGATCAACAATCTTGTACCTACCTTTTACTTATCTAGGGCTATAATCCATGAGTTAGGAGGCTGGGCACTAAGAAGGGATGTCTGTCTAAGCTAAAAATTTCGACTAAGTAACTCGATATCCTGTCATTCGTTGCGATGTTGAAAGATATAGTACTAATATTATTATAGTAATGTTAGTATATTTACTTATATAACTTAGACCCCTTTGTTGAACTATCCTACATATGTATAGATCACAAAAAGTTAGCATTAACTATCAAAAATTTCAAGATTGGTCAAGCAAGGTAAAGCTCAAAATTCAGTTGGAGAAACATACTTACGAGTATGTGGATAAGCAGACAATTAGTGTTTTTGAGGTGCCACTGTGACGTGAGGTCTTTTGTATGAAGTTTTTGGCGCGAACTAATCGAACGAGCATTTAAATTGATCCATAGACTATGAAGACATATGCGATTTGAGGGATGAGTAGACCTTCCGTCTTATTATTACCACCTGGTGCCCGTCATTTCAAAAAACTTGAGGGTTTTTTTGCGCGTTAACTTTGAATTATTTTAATATTGAATCGTAATTCTGCCGTCCTATTGGCTTTCAAAGTTACAACTTAAAAGAAATCTCCAAGTCATGTGGTAGCTCTTACTGCATTCTGCACTAAGTCGGAAAAAATATTGTTGCAATAATTTTTTTTTTTCGTTAAGCAGTTTTCCGTTGCAAGATTTTTTTTCTCAACGTGACATGGCATTTTCATTATTTGTATATGTAACACTTAATAAGGATAATAGGCTAGTTGACCCTTTTTTGAAAAAGGTTTTAAATGGTTAATAAATGTTCTATTAGACCGAAAAAAATGTATAGTATTTTTTTGAGACCTAGAAAGCTACAAATCTTTAATTTTTAAATTGAATTTTCATGGACATACAAAAACGCTGTCGGCCATTTTAGTCCATAGATTGTCTATGCTATGATGTCAACTGTAATAAACAAAAAGTCGTAAGCACGTAGAAAATAACATAACTGAGTTTATATTATAAAGAACATGATTTCTAATAAATACCACGAAAAATAAAGTAATTATCATTATTTTATTGTACGAGAATATAAAAACACATACTTGAAGACTCCAGGAATGTTGTGGATTAAAGTGCCGAAAGAAATTAACCTACGCAACTTTATTACACTTATTCATATGTTGTATCAGTTTTATGTTTATTACTACATTGTAATATTAAATGCACTGTACTTACATAGATTAGCCTTGTCGTTTCTCTGCTCCGCAAAGCAGAAATCGGGGTTTAGTGCAAAAAATTCACCAACCATCAATGCGTCAATTCTTGGCAGATTTGTGCTTTCTGCTTTCACAAAGCCGGCATCCATAATTAGTTTTGTCAAAAAAAAAAACAGTAAACGGAAACTTTTCTAAAGTTAAAAGTGTTTTAAGATGAATTTATTCAGATTAAAGAATCCACCCACAATAACACGCGAATTTACTGAAAGAGACGTCACAATCATGGCGGATGTGGCGAACAGCGTTTTTAGTGTTTAAAAAATATAGACTAAAAAATATTTTTTTTAAATTAATTTCTACAGCAATCTTCAGCTTTTATGAAGTGAAATCGATATATTTAGGTTCCTTAGACCAAAGACTGTGAGAAATAAACACTTATTTAATACAATTCGACATGAGTCAAATAGCCTATTAAAACTTGTAAGTAGATAAGTAAATTTAATGTATCATACCATTTTGCAAGTAGTCTTGATATTCTTCTAGGTAGAGGGTGCGGCCGCGCTTGGCGAGGTTCACGGCGCGCACGATCAGTTCGTAGCTCTCCTTCGCGTTCAGTCCCAGATGTTCCTTGAAGCCCTTTATTGACGCCTGGTACGTATTCGTTATTATCAGGTCCGCCCCAGCTGCAAAAACATCAATTTAAATCGCAATCCCACTCGCATTAATCATCCAAAACAGATGTAATGAAAACTAATGAATCCCAAGATTAATGCTTCTTAATATTCGGCCGATAAACCAGCACCTTTTACTTTGTCAGTAATTAAACATGTCCTCAGAGCTCGCATTCGTAAACTAGCATGATAAATATTACTGAACTTTAATAACCTCTAATATAACGGAGGCCCGGTTGTGGCCCGGACGGAGGCGTAAACAATAATTGTTATTAAAACTTAGAGGTTACTACGCAAGCCGGTGCAGACCGACACAGTGGGAAAACAAACTTCTGGCAGGAGCGTTGTCGAAGAAAATAATTACGTAGTAAATAGGAGACGGTGTACGGGCTGTGAATGGAAACGTATTAGGCAGACGCGGTGATTAATGACAACGGCACCTTGTGCCGAGACGCCGGCGGAGCCCGCTCCTGGTTCCTGCGGCCTCTCCTGGCGCGACCACACCCGCGCGCTATGCAAATGCGAGATACTTAGTTAGCAGGCATCGTATAACGCCCGCACTTGCCAACTTGCTCCAGCCCCAATCATAATAATCGCAGCGAAACAGTTGCATCTTTCACATTATTACATCCTTCTAGCAGAAGTCTCAGTTTTATCTCCTTACTAATTTCAACGGGAAACTTTATAACTGCGAATAATTCTTTAGGTTAAATTTCAACTCAGGACATGTAATGAGCCTTATATTACCACGGTCTTTTTAAAAGGTATCACTGTAACGTGTACTATACCGCAAAATACATAGCAATTTTTAATATTTCGTATAAAGTCGTGTATAAGAGGAAGCAAAGCGAGGCAGTAGGTTTTCCCCTCCAGGGAGTTATTTGCTTGCAGACACTTTTCAGCTTTTCCTTATGAAAAGAAACGGAACGTTTTGTGGCGAAGAAAAGCTCTTTCAGAGGAAGATGACACGAGACGAGGTCAGATGCAAGAAAATGACAAGCTAAAAGCAACCTAACAGTAATCCGTCAAAACAAGCGTGTGGTACCGTCGGCTCCTAACGCGTACATAATATTAGGACTCAGTTCTGTCTCTGCTTGTTACGCATTCGTTTGCGGTTTGTGTGCCCCGTACGTACGGTAGGTGTGCCTGGATATTCTGTGAAATGGGGTACAAAGCAATTACTTTGCAGTTCAAAGGGATCAGTTGGGCGTGTCCCTGGCGAACAGGCGTCATCCATCAGATTTCTGTAAATATTACCTTTGTGACATTGCACCGCTTTGTTTTGAGAAATTAAGATTTCTTGAATAGTAGATAAAATCACTGATTACCTTAAATTATAATTTATTACATTATAGTACCCAAGAAGTGAACTATGCACGTACACTGTGAATTTTATGTATCGCACGTCCATTATTAACGCGAAACTATTCACAATGCACAGAATATACTGCGCTACACATGTAGATAAATATAATCTTAAAATTATGATCTAACAAACTCATAACTAAGGAGAGACGAGTTCATACGGTCTTGCCAAAGAATAATCATTATAGATAAACTGAATATATGAGTACCTACTTACTTAATATATAGCATAAGCAAGATAATGTGCTTTGTGATTTATTAAAACAATAAGTGCACTGTTTCATAAAAGGGCACTTGATAAACGGCGTGTATTGTGTAATTATAACTAAGCAGATGTTATTTCAATTGATTAGGTATATTACACGCAGTTTGGTAATGTTCAAGTTCAGTTGATAACTTCTGGCATTTTAAGTAGCTCTCCATCCTTATTATTCCTATAAAATGCTATGATTTGGTAAAACTATTAATCGTGGGTCTTATTTATGTATATATATGTATCAATTATATACACACTTTTGTATTTTTGTGCGTTACAATATAAGAACAAAATTAAAAAGTTATTTAAAAATATAACAGACTCTCGACATTTCTAACAGGGAGCGCTTTAAACTATAACTCCAGAGAAGTGAAAAGTATGGATGACTTATGACGGAATTGTGCATAATGAACAAACTTAATTGGCTAAAATATATAATCTCACCAGATCCATCACGGACCTAGCCAATGGATCTATTGAGAATGATCCATATTTCAATTTCAAATTTTTCATTTCAAAATTTTAAAATTTAAAATTCTATTTTTAATTTCAAAAATCCTTTATTCAGTTTAGGCTTTACAAGCACATGTAAGAGTCGAAAACTAGGCCAACGGTTCGCAAAACTACGGCGGGTGACTTTGTACTGTGAAGAACCGGCAAGAAACTCAGCAAGGGCTGCTTTTTTTCCTATTTTATTTCATACAGTGTCGTCAAATTGAAAGCTGGCATGAAACTTGCAAACATGTGTTGAGGCCAACTTCCTTCACACAATGTCAAATGGTACCTAACAATAGACAATCAGCGAGTTTACTAACAATAAGTGTAAAGAAAGGTCCCAAAATAGTAAGAAATAATCTTCAAAACAAATTGTACAAGTATATGAAAGGGAGTAAATGTAAGGGGCTGGGGGCGTTCAAAAGAAGAAAAAGAAGAAAGAGCTCTTTAGAACGCCCCCAGTTTCAATGTAACTTTTGAAAAAATACTTATAGTTATTATTATACAACGCTACCGCGAGTACCAACATCAACAGCTTCTGAGTCGCGCTAACATTACGTTTTTTAAAAAGTGTATTAGCTCTTGAAAACATTGGCGCGATCGCTTCAGATGAAACTTTTAGTCAGTAAGAGTCTGGCATAACCTTGCAGCCGGCTGTAGGGTATCCTTGAGGATTTTAACACGCCCCCGCCTGGGAGGAAACAAAAAATAATTTGGCGGTTATCATTCGTATTTAAAAAAAATATAATATCGCATTGATTTTGAGTTTGAGACGCAGTGCAGTTTGACGTTGTTTTTATTTTTTTAGTTGAAATACATAGATTGATATTAATTGGATTTTCTAATTTCCGATATAGAAAACAAAGACTCTTGCTCAAATATATTGTGGTAACTACAGGCAACAACGAAACTCTACACTGCGCGTGTCAAGACACGCACTTGGCCGGTTTATTTTTTTCGTATTTTAAGTTATTTTTTATTATATTTTGTTTAAAAATGTAATTTTTCTATGTTCTTTATTTATGACAGGGGTGAGTAAGTGCACTCCTTCGCACTCCCCTGCCGGCGCCCATGAGTAGGTATTCAGTCACGAAATAATGGAATCTAAAATAGCGGATAACAGACAAGGGGTTAACATTATTTCTAGAAACATACCGAACAACATATCGTATTTCTCATTAATATTTAATGAACATCTGAGCAAAACCAATCATAATAATATGAGAAACACAATCAATAGGTATGAAGTTGTCCTTATCATACAAAATTAATGACAACATGACCGATCGACCTATCTTTACTAAATAAATTCATATCTTTCAACCGAGAGCTTTTAAAAATATTTTGCATAATACCGATGAATTGTTTATCTTGGTGGTTTGTTGTTTTATTAACATTTTTTTATCGGATCACTGCTTTTGTAGTAAGCCAATGAAAACAGATTCTACTCCGTGATCATGGCATTTAAAACAATATAACATTTTATCTGTACAAAAACATACTATGATCTTTAGTTTTCGAACTGATGCACCAATCTGTTCTATAGGATTGCTCCCTAATTGCGATTTGATGACTTTATCATTATCACATAACGATCCTGCTATATCCATCTCTCTTGTATTATGAATAGGATAAGTACAAATGGGTACCTATACCATATTTGATTGCGATTTGATAGAAATGGAATATTATTTGCTAAGTTATGATCAATTATCAAACAATAATATTACCTTTAATATTAATAACAAATCAGTGCAGGTTTTGTAACTACATTTGCATAGTTCAAACTTATTTTCAAATAATAAACTTAGTGTTAACGTTCAAATGAATAGAGGGATTGTCACTTGTCTTACAACAGAAATGGGGGGTAGTCTTCTTAGGTGGCATTTTTATGGTCAAAAAACTTATGCATTGCAGCTTTCTATATTCCGGGCTGCCCGGATATTATTTTTTACTTTTTGATTCCATTTTCGATTATGAAGTCGGTTATTATTTTTTGTTTAAAAATATATTTTTATTACATCGATTAGGTAGGTACACCAAAATTCATCAAAATTTGATGAGCTGTTGAGGCGAGCTACTATCGCCTGGATTAGGATAGAGTTATATTTAACAAAACTCCGAACGAAGATTCCATGAAATTTTTCATAGACACCGTGAGCACGCAAAGGTATTATAGAGGGTATTATATATCTAGTTACATTTCCGTCGGTATCTATTAATTTTCCCCCGAGGGTTCGAACCTTTATTGGTGCCGAACTTTCCGATAAAATACAATGTTGAAATCTTTTGTAATTCGGGAGTTTCGTTACCTTTCAACCGTGACTGGTTCGATTACAATGTTATTTTTAAGACAGTATAAAGTAACGATTGCAGACGCATGGAAGTGAAACTTACCTACGGTATTTTTGTAAACAACACTTAGGTAATAAATATATACTGAAACAGTGTGACATGCGATTTGTTCTGATATAGGTAGTGTAGTTGCACCGAACCGATCACTAAATATGGTAACACCGAGTGTCTTTAGCTCGGTGTTACCATATTTAGTGATCGATTAACTACTCTTTATTAATTGATATCGAAAAAAAATGACGATCATTGGTTCTTGTCGGTCATTGGTGCCACTAACTTATTAAATATCAAAAAAAACTGCATAGATTTTCGCCTAGTTAGTACATACATTGTCATAAGGGTTTTTAAAATGACGGGCGCTATATCTACACAAGATCTAAAAATACATAATTTTTCCGAAGCTTCGGTATGGAAATAGAATTTTGATACGTTACGTCCATACCTTAAAATAATAAGACGTTCTCAGATCCTTCCAAGCGCTTTGTTGTTAATGTCTAAGAACCAATTAAAGAGTTTAAGGTACTAGCTCACACAAAGATCAGTAGTATTAACTGTAGAGGAATCCGCTCATTAGTGCTATTCGATAAAATTTTTACGCGCGATCTGATGTGGATCCGCGCGGATTTATATCGGCTCCGCCGTGAAAATTTTACAGAATAGCACTGCAGAACAATAACAATTATTGTTCTAAGAAAATCTAAGCCCATGATACTCAATAAATTTCCGGACATAATAACATTTAGTTTAGTAATTAGGTGATATAATACATCAAAACGAAACGAAAAATAATATTTTATAAGCTTTTCTTTATTTTCACACCCTGAAGTACTTATATTATTTTAACAACAGGCCGCTTTTCTTGACTTGACTTCATATAAAAAAAGCTGCGGGCGAAATCCAATAGCTACTGTAAATGTTTATTGATCCTGTAGACAGTAGATACTTGGATTTGTGTGAACATTTACATGAGAGGTTAAATTACACTAGAGTGCGATTGTATCATTTTGATGACTGTTCTGTTGGGCTATTACGGGTACTTAAGTACTATCATTTTTATTTTGCTACGAGAACTTTTTGTAAGCTTCTCTGACACTTACTTATTTGTATTCGTAAATGCGTATGCGTATGCGTAAAAATATCTTGTAGCGATTTTCGAATATAAAAATATTTCAATGTCCCATAAAATTTTAATAGTCTCCTGATCATATCTCCGTGCATGCGAACGGATGTTTTCGCGAAAGGGTGACAGAGCTTTGCATGAAGAACCTATCACACGTGCGTAGATGTACCTAAGCACACTTTATCTCAAAATCCGGAAATTGAAATCGGAAGCTTTACCATTGCGGCTCAACAATTTAAATTTATAGTGACAAAAATACTAACCTACTTTTAAGAGGAAAATGTACAAGTCTATCACTGATAGTGCTTTTACATTTTAAGTTTATCTGTATAGTTAATTATAACTAAAAGCATGAGTATGACCCTTTTAATACACTTAATGTTGCACTTGAGACAGTAATATTAACTTCATTTCCAAAATACCAATACACTTTCCAAACTTTTACACCGATTGAGTACGTAATATCCACTCATAATAATCATAATAGTTTAAGCGCTATGTTTGCAGGGGCCCAATTCTCGCGGCGTAGATATTATATCGGCTTCGAGATAATATCGAAAGTAGGGATATCTATTGAAAATATCTACTGATGGTAAAAAATGCTATTCTCGTGGATTTTCGATATTCCAATGATATTGTATCTATCGTAGATATTCTTTCACTGCCGAATGCGTTCCGTTTTTCTCGATTAAGTTAACATCATAGTCTATATAAAATAATAATAAATTAGAGCAGAATTTTACAAGCAACAAAATGATATTTTATGAATTCCATTCATATTAAATATGAGAATATATTTTTTGAGTATAAGAAATCTCAACTTTACCTAAATTGTATGCGTATATAATTTCAACGTTATGTATAATGAGACGTCATATTATTTAAGATTCTCCCTTTTCAGGGAAGCCAAAGGGAACAATGCCCATAAAGCCTAGTCTTTAGTTATATTAATTTTCTTTTTTTTTACATTCGAATGTCGGTGTGACGCATTCTAATGTTTCTTAGAGTGTTTGGCACGAAATTTATGGAGTTGGCTTTTTCTCTAGGCTTCTGTGAGGTAGTCAACACTACAATAAAGTTCTCGCGTCCACTTGACCGGAATAGCGTATATTTTAAAGATTCCACTAATTCTTCAGTTGCGCAGACGGTTGTAACACCAAATCACACCAATTTTATTTCACAATATCCACTAGGAACGAATTTTAGAATAATTAAAATAAGATGCCAACCGCACTCACAGAAATCCCGCCAAAACTCCGTATCGTCAATAAGAAAATGGTTTCGATTCTGGCATGATTCTCTAAACCTAAACGTAAATTTGACAACAGTGTATCCTTGTCATTCTCCATACAGAATGAAAAGGAGAGACTGATGTTAAATTTAGTTTTAAGTTTAGAGAACCGTGTCAGAATCGATACCAATGTCATTCATAACTTTAAAGATTTCTAACCAAATTTTTGTTTAAACGTATTTTTTTTATGAAGTCGGCGTCCCTCATTTCAAATGGGCCCTCTTGCTCTCACAACGGCGGCGCCTTGGCACAGCAGCAGCAATCACTTCATTTATTAAATCATTGACGAAAACATGAATCAACTCATCCATCGTTAATATAAACATTGTTTACCTACTTCTATATTTACTAATTATTTATGAAGGCAGTTAACAACATCTTGAGGTAACAATAATTGGCAAAAACACACGACAACACAATAAATAATAGGTAAAAAAAGTGGAAATAACAAGATTGACATGCCAAGATCCATAGATCGAAGGCTCTTTACCAGTCGATGTATGTCTACTGATCATCCGTAGATAAATATCTATTGCGACATGGTGAGAATAGGGCAAAAAGGTTTTCCTTCGATAAAAGCCAGATCATTCGATATATATCGAAGGTGATATAATATCTATGCCGCGAGAATTGGGCCCCAGATCCTATAACGCTCATTTCACTGCGTTATTGACATGCAGCGAACATTATTTATTTCGTTAACAATAAGGGCGCTTGTTAACAAGACGGTTTTCCGCCGGTTCTAGGGACGGTTTTAAACCGTGTTTACGTCCGATCGTCAGTTAAGTATGGGGCACTATGGAGGTTTGTACCGGCGCCAGCGTCGGTTTGGGATCAGTACAAACGTACAAAAAACAAATCGTGTTAGTGAATAAACTTAGCTGGCACCAGCCCTGATAAAAACTGTCTTATTAACAAGCGCCGTAAAGGCTAATTTACACATCGGTAATTACAGTAGCGAGTTTAGAAATCCCTGTCTGAACACATGATGATAAAAAATGATGCATGATGAAAAAATACATTTTATGTCGTAGTATTCCCAAGTGGAATTCTTTACCCGTGCACGTGTTCCCTCCTTCCTACAATCTGGGGTCTTTTAAGAGAGGCGTGAAGAAGCAGGTCGCGGTCGGCAAAGTGAGAATGATTGGTGTGGCAGTTTATAACTGCTTCACCAGCTATCTTTCGCGCTAAAACCGTAAGTTAACTCGCTACTGCCCTAACCGAAGTCTAAATCAGCCTTAAGGGTGTCAAAACCTACCTCTTAGAAAATCCAAGTGCGTATTGACCACTTCGTCGGGGTTGGTGTGCAGAAATCGAGCGCTCCACAACGGGTCGCCATCAATAACATGTCCCACATGGCAGGACAGCTGCGTGGAGAATCCTCCATCCAGCACCACAATGTCTGGAGCATCCAGACTCTCGCCATTTGTAGGCGTCATGTTTCAACCGCAGCTGCTGGAAAATAATTTTCCAACTGTAAACAAAATCTCACAGTCGCAGATAACGGATTGATAGCCCCGAGCGAGGCCTTTGCCCCTCGGTGAGACACCCACAGATAATTTTCATACGAAATTAGAAATCTCTCTCACGCTAATAGGCACTTAGTTATTATTTACAAATCATTATATCGTATAGAGACGTGCTTGAATAAAACGTTTTGTTATCTCATTACTTTGTATTTTAATTGAACGAACAACGATAAAATAATTGAAAGCGAATCAATATCTCGGTAAGTAGATCGCTGTGTACTGTTTTTGTATTACTTATGTAAGAAAAATCATTGTCTGCAGAAATATTGAAATGTACCAGTGTTTCCTTTCAGGCAAAATGCGATCAATAGGTATCATTAGGGTCCGGAAATGGAACAGAAAGAGAGGGGGGAGCTTCTCATTGACAAAGGTAGATAGAGACTATTAATTATTTTGTTCTCTCATTTATATAGGCTGGCTACGATGTAGTAATTCTAACTTTAAATGACGACGAAGAGTTACCGCGTGGGTAAAGGATTTATAAGGTAGATAAAACAAAACGAAATGTCGGCGACAGACAAGTCACGTTCATTGGAGTGGAAGCCGCGAGCGTGAATTTCAATACGAATTTATATTATGTTTCAATTCTTTTTAGATTCTTGTCGAAAGATTTTGTATTTGCGATAGCTATCTCCACGTATTATAGAAAAAAGTTTGTAAGATACATATGTTCTTTTTGGGGTTGCGCACCAAAGAGTGTCAAACCCAGGGTACGAGAATCCGACTAGATCCGGGCCAAGTGCGCCCGGTTTTTCTTCAGTTTATAACGTAGGTAAAATAAATAGCTTTTCAACACATTTGCTCAAAAAATGCATTTACGACGGTTGTATATATTGTTTGGCAGTTTGAAATTAAGCACCATTTAACATGCTTGGAAATTTGAGCATTATATTGATTATCTTCTACGTGATAAATCGAAATTGCTCTATTGGTCAAATAATGCGAGCAGCAGCCGGCAAAATTTGGTCAAAAATATTTCAGACTGACTGATCCTTATATTACTTTACATAAGCTTCACAATAATTGGAAAATTTGGACAATGGCTGTCTGTCTGTGTACAAGTATCTAGAATCAGTAGTCTTCTATAGGTATGATTAGAGAAGACGTTTTTGACAACGGACCTTCAATATTAAAATTCTTGAACATTGTAAAGACTTGGCAATTTGGTATGAAGATAACTTTACATTTCGGACCCTTTACAGGCTCCGCTGTAATTGTATAAAGCCTGAAATGTTGATCGTCTTTCAAATAATTAATAATCCATTGAAGAGGGTTTTATTATATTTACGCTGTATCACAAAGATTTATTGCTAATATTTCAAAGGCAAAAATACGGGTTGTTTCGTATTCATCATATGACGTCTCATCCTACTCATTAGGGTTTTCCTTACTCAGCCTATGTTCCACACCCACAAAAATAATAACATCATTATTAAAGGAGAATTTAACACAAAAAAACTTATAGCTATCGATTATGTATGTTCCGACTATAAAGAACTCTTTACAATGGTAAAAATGAAAAAGTAGTTTAATTTTCTTCTAACATCCCAATATCTATCTCTCTACGATCTATATGAAAATTGGTCACAATTGATTTAGTTATTATGCATGAAAACGTTACATACAGAGAGGCAGATTTATTTTCACATGTTTAATATTAGTAAGAATAATGAGATAAATTGTAATTTACAATACGTTTGCTCGGTAATCTCTCCTAGCTTGTAACAGTTTTAATGGCAGGTCGTTGAAAGAAACGACCTGAAGGAATGTAATACAATTTCACTTACTTTTTTTTGTCTTTTCACCGAGACAAAACAAAAATAATTTATAAACTTCTCTTTAATGAGACAGTGTTGTGAAGTTACAAATTACAGTTGATTTTAACAAAAGTTTTTTGTATTACTTTAACAATTGTAAAACTTGAAATAGATCGAGTTGCATTTTACGTATGTTTAGAGAAAATTTTAAATACTTTTAATGATTAAGTTAAAAATGCAGTATAAACTAGTGAGGTTGGTATAATATATTAATGTTTATTTAAAAAATGCACACTGCTTTGGATTATCGTAAAGTTATGGTAAAGTGAAAATGGTTGATACACGATACGACTATTTGTATACTGTAAATTATTGTCTTAACTACATGAAAATAACTATAAAGGCCTTATCATCTTAACATGTCAGTTCTCATACGACTAGACAGACAACATTTTTCAAAAGAAAATTTAAGCGATTAGCGATTTTTTATTTTGATTTTTGAGCTTTTGAAGTAACGCATTTTCTAGTTATTAAAAGCTTGAAAAATTGCAATAGAAAACATATTTAAAGAACCAATGAAATTATTTACTTTTAACCATGACTGGTTATTATTATTAATTACTTTTTGTTCATTTCAGAATTTTGTACGTATTATATTCATTTATCAAAGTTTTCAATGTACATGTTACTGAATCGATTTATTAACAACATATAATCACAAATATAAGTATCTATCGCGAACGAAATTCATGAATAGCGACACACTCGGCTGTATCTATTGGTTATTCTGTTAATGTCGATATGTGTAGGTATTACCTAATCTCCGCTAAGTTATGTGTGGAGCGATTAATATCCGGAAAACACATTGACGGTCGACACATCTGCGGTTTCAGCCCTTTCTGAGGATACATCAATGCTACATACAGCTGTGAAACATAAACTTTTGTAGATTATAAACTTTTTTCAAAGCGGTTTGGAGCCTCATTCGTTATTCGTAGATAAAATCTAGCAAAGAAACTTTTCTTTGTTTTGTTAATTCTCATAAATATTCCAAACATGTTTATTACCGACACTACGTTATATTTTAAATTTTAAACAAAAGAGACTTACGCACGAATACTATTTATATTTGATACTTGTATTATTTTGATCTGTTATTTTTAGAAACATTCTAAGAGTTCTAAATATAATGCGAGTAACGAATAGCTCACTCACTATTTATTAAAATAAAAACGAAGAAATCCTTCTCCTATTATATTAACGAGACAATGGCTATTTTAAAAATCTAATAAAACGTACCGCTTGCAAACGAATTCTTTAAATTGATAACAAAATTTACTAAAATCATTGTGGAAGCCAGTCAAGGAACTTCCTAAATTATACAGGAATGATATAAAAATGTGAAAGACACTCTAATTAAACATAAATCATTACACGAAAAACTCGCTGGCTGGTTGTAACAGCGGTTGAGAGATTTTCACCGCTGAAGAAATATCGTTTTGGGTGACAACAATATTTTAAACGTCTCGCCAGTCGCCACCCACCTGAGCTCTAAGGGCGTCGAAATGAGTTATTGTAAAGTCTGCGGGCTGCCTATCAGATCTGCTTTATATTATGCTGTAATTTGAAGTGAGCTTATACAGTGGCAAGGCAACTTCTTTTTGTGGCAAAAAATATTAAGGGACAAAAGATAGATCGTATACCCTAGGTTAGTAAAATAGATCTAATACCTAAGTAGTCAGACTTCTATTTTCTTCTTATCAATTAAAGTATCCAGGCAAAAAATCATGTAAAATAAACAACTACTACATTAAGTTTTCACTTTTAAATCTATAATTCAGTTCTTTTGTTGTAAGCCTAACCAAATTTATTTTTAAAATCCGCTCAATTTTTCATTAAACGTATTTAAAAATTAATCACCACAATGTTCTAGCTGAATTTTTTTTTCGCATTTGGCGCCCCGTTCGTGTGGCGCCTAGAGCGATCGTTTTTATTCACATCCTTTTCTCGACATTCGGGGCCAGTGCTACTTGTGGGCATAAGTACCTAAGTACAGTACCTATTTTCCCATGCAAATTTCCGCCCCCTTTCATCCCCTTAAAGGTTGATTTCTGGGAAAAAGACTACCTCAGTTATGTACTTTCCCGGGACTCATACTATCTAATGCCAATTTTCATTAAAAAGGGTTCAGCGGTTAAAGCGTAAAGTGTTAACTGACAGACACACTTTCACAGAGAGATGGCACTGCCGTCACGCTAAACATCGACTCCGTAGTTTTATAATTAAATAAAATATTCAAAGTGCGAGTTACACCAATCAAAATAAACAAAAAATATTAGTATTGTATAAATATATAGTGAAAGTGTTTGTGATAATTACTTCTTTGGATATCATCTTCAAATTGGAACAAATTATAAATCGTACAAAAATCTACGATAATTTAATAATCAGTGACATTGTGAAAACAAAACAAAATAGCAGAGCAGAGTACTGTGAGTTGATATCTCATTATTTATATAAAAAGTGTGTTAAAAAGAACCATAAGTGATATTTTGTAGTAATAACTCATTTTGGATAATCGTTATTTTGAATTTATACCTTGAGAAAACAGCGCACTATGCGGGGAGTAGCCAATTCAATTCGACCATTTACCAGAAAAGCATTTATTTACTAGTAGTAGTGTTCAGTGTGATCAATAGAGGACGAAACATGTATATGGACATTAGTCTACGAAATCGTATAAACACTTCAACCATCTAGCGACGAGTGATCTACTCCACTTCATACAAACTGACCCGTAGTAGTAGCAGGCAAGAAAGGCTATAACTAATTAGTTATTAGGACATGTCATAGATGGCGCTACAATGAATTTCTTTGATAACATAACTATTCGTCGTCAAAATAAAACTGGACCCAACAATAAAAATAATTCTACAGATGAAATTGATGTAAATCAAAGTAATTCAACAATGGAAGATGCTTTAAATGGCAGTATTCACAGTTTACCTGATTTATCCGGAGATAACAGCGAGATTTTGTTGCTTAAAGAAGAAATTAAGAAATTGAAAATGGAGTTACAATATGCATTTGATAATATAGCGGACCTTAAAATTGAAAACACTAAAATAAGGGGAAAAGTTGAAGAATACGAAAAACAGCTCAAAAAGTCTCCAAACACCATACATAAACCGAGTACACAAACAACCCAATAAGACGGAAAAAGTGAGCAGTTCAGCCACTGCACACTAGATGGCGTTACGGATACCCTTATTCAAAAAAGTGATAACTTGGTATTATCTTCTACTTCAACATTAATTAAAAAGTATATTCCCAAAAAACAGCCTTCAACCAAAAGACTGTGCATAATCAGTAGTAATACTAAAAACAAAGTGTTAAACATTGTCAAGCGAGTTTGTGATGAACGATTCAATGTATGTCATTTTTTATCGCCGGGGGTAGGAATGGAACAACTGCTTGATAGAATTGATTATAAAATGCATGAGTTTACTATGGATGATTTTTGCGTTGTTTTTGTTGGAGAGGATGATTTCCACGTAACTAAAGACTATTCCTTGATTGTTAAAACAATGCACGAAAAGCTTTGTAAGTTAAGTCATACCAACATTATAATTGTAACACCAACTTTTAGAATACATCCTAATGCTACTTTGTATAATTATAGAATTGAAACTTTTAATAAATTATTGTATTTAAGCAATCAACAGCATGAGTATGCATATTTATTAGACTCCAATAACTTTCTCGAGTATACTAGGAAAAAAATTTCTTTCTACCTTGGTAAAATAAATAACTTTGGGTTTTTAAATATTGTTGAACGACTAAAAATCTTTATGACAGAAATAAGTCAGTATAATCTTGAAATAGAAAAACAAATAACAACAGACGATATCCATTCTATGCCTAATGTTCAGGTGATTGAAGATTCAGATTTTTTTCGTCTCTAATTATTTAAGAATATTTCACCAAAATATATGTGGATTGATAAATAAATTGGATTTACTGACTGTCGCCATTTGTGATTTATGTTTAGAAAATAAGGAGACTGACATTATATGCATCACGGAACACTTCATGAAAGAAGTAGATAATTGTAATTTTCATCTAAATGACTATATACTGGCCACAAGTTATTTCAGAGACACTCGTAGAGGTGGTTCGTGTATATTGGTTCGCCAAGGCTTTGAGTACGAAATTGTTGATGTCTCGAAATTTTGTATTAAATCTGTATTTGAATGTTGTGCATTGAAGTTGACGCTTGAACACCTGATTATAGTTTGTATATATAGACCACCAAATGCTGACATAGAATTATTTCTTAATAAATTTGAATTACTTTTAAATAATTTGACTAAAAATAATAATGATTTAAAATGTATAATTTGAGGTGATTTTAATGTAAATATTTTAAAAAGGACCAAATTGACTGACTATTTTGAGGATTTACTTTTAAGCTATAATTTTAAGTTACAAATCAGACAACCCACAAGGCTCAGTAGTCAAACATGTCTTGATAATTTTGCCGTAAACTATAGAGGTTGTAAGAGCGAAGTAATTGAGCTAGCCTTGTCAGATCACACTGCGCAGTTATTAAATTGTCCTGTGAAGAGGACATGTCCGATTAATTATTGGCGCATAAGAAAACGTGATTATTCTATGGAAAATATGATTAAATTTCAGGAGGCTATTCAAGCATTAAGTTTTAGTGAAGTTTATACATCAGACGATGTAAATGTTGCCTGTAATATTTTTATTGAGACTGTCAAATTATTTCATAACTTATGTTATCCCTATAAGCAAATATTAATAAAAAGTAAGAAAAAAGTAAAATGGGTATCTAGAGGTGTTAGGACTTGTAGCAAAAAGAAGCGAGAATTGCTGTGGAGATATAGGTCTTGTCCAACTGAAGCAAATAAACTGATTCTCAAGAACTATTGCCAGCGGTACAAAAAAAATATTAATTTAACAAAGAGGGCACAAAACGATCACTTCATAAAAGCAGCTATTAATAAGTCTAAAGCGACCTGGCAAATAATAAATAAGAATAAAAATCAGTATCCTCAGGAAACAATCCAACATTTACTTAGAGATAGAATGCAAATCTCTGATCCTTTGCATGTGGCCAATATACTTAACAACCATTTCGTAGACTCTACACTAAAACAAAAAAATTGTAATTCTACGTACAAAATACCTACAAAACTTGAAAATTCAATATTCTTGCCTGAAATTACACCAGGAACTGTTAAAAAAACCATAAGATCATTAAAGAATACATCTAGTGTAGGTATTGATGGTATCCCCACTAAAGTAATTAAAGAAAATTTAGACTCTTTGGCTCTTCCTTTAACATTTCTAATTAATTTAAGTATTAATTGTGGAATATTCCCTGAAGTATTTAAAACTTTAATTATTAAGCCGATCTTTAAAAAAGGAGATAAGTCGGATATAAAAAACTATAGGCCTATTGCTCAGTTACCAATATTTTCTAAAGTATTTGAAAAAATAATACATGATATGATATATAATTTCTTTGAAAAATATAATGTGTTAGTAAATGAGCAGTTTGGTTTCCGTAAAAATAGAAATACTCAAAAGGCAATATATAGTTTACTTGATATAATAAAGACCTCTGTGGACAAAAACATGTTTGTGCCATTTTTATGGACCTGACCTGTGCTTTTGACAACGTTGATCATAAGTTACTATTGGCCAAACTCTATGCTTATGGGATAAGAGGCGTAGCTCTTAAATTAATAGATTGGTATTTGAGTAACAGGAAACAATATACTGTTATAACTAGATTCTGCAAAGAAACCAAGATTATTAGGGAATTTATGTCTCTATGTCTCTATGTAGAGGCTGGTGTGCCTCGAGGTAGTATATTAGGACCTTTGTTCTTTAATGCATTTATAAATGACTTCCCAAATTCTATTGACCATCCCATGATTTTATTTGCTGACGACAGTACTGCTGTGATTCAATGTAATAATGAACAAGACTATGAAAATGACATTAATAATGCTATGGAAAAACTTAACAATTGGATAGTCCAAAATAACTTGTGCCTGAATAGTAAAAAAACAAAAGTAATACACTTCAGACAAAAGATTGAAATACCCTCAGTAGCTTTAAAGTGCAATGGTGAGGAAATTGAATCTGTTTCTGAAACGAATTTTTTAGGTCTGCAAATGGATTATCAGGTTAATTGGAAATCTCACACTGAGAAATTATGTAAGAGAGTGAGTAGTTCAATTTACGCTCTATACAAACTCTCCAAGGTATCTAATAGGGACACTGTTTTGACTGCATACCGAGGTTATGTTGAATGTATCTTACGGTATGGAATAATTTTCTGGGGAAATTCTGTGAATAAAACTCTTTTATTCAAACATCAAAAAAGGTGTATAAGAGCGATAAATTGCCTCAAATCGACGGATAGCTGCAAACCATTTTTCATAAGCATGAAAATCCTTATTATTAAATGACATGTCAATGACCTCATTAAACACGTCTTTAGAAAATGCCACGTTGATATGTTAAGGTGTGCCATCTAAATCAACCTATGTGTAATGTAAAAAAATGATAGGTACGAATCACTACTCACAAAACACTTATATTTTTCTGCAAAATTATATTCAATATTTTAGTTTCACTTTATAAATTTAAAGTAAATAATGTTTACAAGTTTTACAACGTTAACATAGGGTATTAATAGACATCGAACAATAAGTCATATTATGGCGAAACATACAAAGCATCTTGCATGTTACAAACATAAAGCAAGGTATTTATTACAGCTGTCAACCACGCACAATTTCCTTTGAGTAAAGAAAGGTCAAGTGCGATTCGGAATCACACAGCGAATAGTTTCGTACCAGCTTTAATGTAGGAACCAAAAACGCCGGAAAAGAAGGTCATTCGTACATGGTACCATTTAATTCTCAAAAAAGAAATTATAAAGTTACAGTGGAAATACATATTACTCTGAGAAAATTTTAAGTATTTAGGTATACCTTTATCGGTTCATCAAGAGTCCTATCACGCACGCACGGACGCACTGATAGAATTCCTGTATCATAATGCGGGTTTGAAACTCTAAAAAAAATTAAAGAAGCGAAGCAGACAAAACACGTTTACACGTAGAGACGATGTTAAATATGGTTTGCCGGAGGTCAATAGAATATAAAGAATAGTTGGTAGGCACTTATTTGGTATTCGTTTGGCGCTAAAGATTATTCTTAAATTGCTAATTTTATATTAATTGCTTTTTGTATTAAATCGATGGTTATTTGTAGAACCAAATTATTAATAAACTGAGCTGTTGCAAATGGTAGAACTGGTATGCAGAATTTAAGTAAAATATCAAATTAATATATGGAAATAAATATAAATTACCTACTTAAAAACCTTTATTTTATTAACGTATATGGATGTAACTAAAGAATTGTAAAAAAAAATAGATATTTAAAAACCATTATGTACCAGTATTGTTTTAAAACCAATGTCAATTTCACATGTATTATTATTGTTTTTATACATAATCTAATCTAGTTAAGTTCCAAATTAACTATGATAAAACTCACTTTGTTCTGTCGAGATGTACCTAAAAAATTATTAACACTATATTGTAGATATTTTTCAATATTTAAATCGAATTATTAATAAAATTTTATACAAGCATCATTATAAAACGACGCACAAATTAACACTATCACAGAAAAGCGCGTATCGCATAAGTACATACGCAAAACCGCGCACAGTGCTCAATAAATATTAAGGTTGGATAAAAATAAAATCAAACATTGATCCTGATTAAAGTTGCCTTACAAAACACGAATGAACTATATGACGAGTAGATGAATACTGACAGTGAATAATAATCAACAGTGACCTGTTATTTTAATATTTTATTAACATAACTGAATATTCATCGAGAATAACCAAATTGCTTAGTTACTATTATATTGACATGAATAAGTGGTACTTAGATAAGAATAGTTTGTAAATGTTTTTCATGGCACAAACAGCCATAGGTCATATTATCTTAAACTGACTTTCTCGATAGTTTTTGCCTTTGAGAAAAAGGAAAAAAAATGAGAAAAATTTACATCTTGTGATTTGATGTACTTATATCGTAGTACTTATTACGTTTATTCATGTATGCATAAAGTACTATTTGAACAGGTAGGTAGTATAGTGAGCACAAAGAAAAATTACACTGTGTGTCATAACTTATGGTCGGATTATGTTTATGTGAGTTAGCTATACTTACCTTTATGATTTGTGTAATAATAATTTTCTGACAACTTTGACATTCGGTAAGCAACACAGCTGCTGTTACTTTTAAATAATATTAACTGAATTCTCGACTCGGTCCACTGTGCAAACGTCACTAGCTGGCGATTGGCTCATGGTGCGCTTCGAGACAGCAGATAGATATTTATAGAGTTATCACCACGGAGCAATGTACTTGCTTGCGGCCAGTGTTACCATAACATGAACGGTCCACAATTCGTATGATAATCAAATGTTTAATCATCAAACAGAATTCCATTCACTAGCCTACTGAGTTTTTAAATACATAGATGTTGCGACTTCGTTCACCCTGAATTCAGAAAATCTGTAGAGCCTTTAATGTAGATAAAGGAGATTGCTCAGCTTCCATACATGTTTGGCCTAAAGACCAATAATCATGAAAGTTTCCTAGATTCGAAATTATATATAAATTACTGTAGAAACGAATATTATTGACGGACACCCCTGAGAACTTCTATAAACCATATACACTGAATGATTTTTAGGTTATGTTTATAAATAGGTACATAGGTATTAGAATAATAAAAAAACAAATAAGTTATATAGTAAAGTAAGGAAATCAAACCAAGTACCGAAATTACGTATTAGATTCATGTATATAGAGCAGGTAGATTAACAGATACTTGCCTGTTTATAAAGTTAATGCACAAGAGTAACTTTTAAAATCAGGTATCATCTATGCATTTCCGGTTATAATAAGGTACTCTGTGACAGAAACTCTGTGATGATTGTGAATGAGCCACAAATTAGAGAAAATATTGTTGTTTAAATTATAACCATATTTTAGATTTTTAGTGTATCACACCTTATAACGTGTTAGGGAGGTGGTTGGCGAAAAATGTATGGCAATAGATTTTATGATATCGCCTAATATCTATAATAATTGTCTTAGCACATTTGCATGTAGTGAAAATGATAATATAGTTGTAGATATTAATACCACAGTATAATAAAAAAAAAGTTTTATTTTATGGATCTTTACAAAATAGATTTATTTTGATGTTATGTAAACAACTTCGATCAGTCTTTGGCATTAAAAATGATTTGTATGTTTTCCAAACCGGTAAAATTAAAAGTCCTTTTTAAAATGAATATATTATACAAAGGTGTCCGTTAAAATCGAATGACTGTAAACTAAAGTATAAATTACGCCAAGAATTATTAGTACATTTGGGAAAATTTGAGCAATCTCCTTTCAGATAATCTACCTTTGCTCTGAAACGAGCAAATATAATAACATTTATCTATTACTGTTTTTGCTCTTAGTTTATTTTTATAATTCCACGGGAACCCCTTTCTGGGATAAAAAATAATCTGTGTTTTTATTTGACTTTATTTAAAGTCTGAACGTGAATCCTTAATCGTCAACTGGGAAAAGCAAAGTGATGTGAGGACCATCCCCCTCATTTTGTCCAGCCCTGTGGCTAGACAAATTAGTCATACCCACTAAAAAACTAACAATACTCTTGCACCGACCATCCGACAGACTTTCTGAGGACTGAAATCCGCAGACTATGTGTTTTTTATGTCATGGCGACTACAACTGGAATATCTTGATTTGCTGGCTACTTTTTGTTCCGCAAGTGAAACTTCAAGCCAATAAAAGTTTGTATTTGAAACTAACTATTCAACTTCCACACCACCATATTCGCGGTATAAATATAAGTGCGCTTTTTTATGTGAAAAAGGTGGTAAACAAGCATTTATGTCCAGCCTCGTTAGCGATATCAGATACTCAGTTTAAAAAAAAAAGAAAACAAATATTTCCAACACTCACCAATTAGCAAAGCCCCAAAGTAAGGACTATAAGACTTGTGTTATGGGATGCTAGGGTAACGGATAGAATACATATACTGTACATATATAAGTATATTTATTATTTAGAAATACATATTAAACATCTATGACTGGAGTACAAATGCTCGTATTCATCACACAAACATCTGCCCCCTACGGGATTCGAACCCGGGACCTCTCGAGTAGGCGACACCATGAAAACCGGCGTACAAACCACTCGACCACGGAGGTCGTCAAAGCACAAAATAGAATATTGTGCTTGCACCGTTGCCTACCTCATCCCCAACCCCGTGGGGACCTGCACTGTTCCTTTTATTAAATATAAGTAATATTTAATAAAGGTTTTATTACGAGTACAAATATTTAGAAACAGGGGAACTGTTTTAAAACAGACCTGGATTTTAAAAAGGAGAACTATTGATAGAGTTTTTGGACACTCATTGTCAAGAAGTAATATGGCTTTGAGGTTTTTTATGTTTCCGCAAAAATTTATTTGCTACAAGTTTCCAATTGACAGTATCGAGATCTCCACAGAATAAACATTTCATCATACGCACCGTTAGAACTCAGGACCTCGGCCGTTATTACATAACTAATCCGGGTCCGCAGATATCCCTGTCTATCGAAAACTATATCTGATCTGAGGCTCCGTAGATACAGATACTTTTGTCAGATTATCTGATACAACTCAAATAAATACCTTTTTTTAACCTTTAAATAGGACTCATGGACAAAAAAGATAACAGTTACCAAGAAAAGATTGATGAAAAATTTGTAAGTCGCCTATTTTTAGCAAATGACAAACATAAGCATTACTTGCTTCAAACAAGCAAATAATGGAATCGTACAATCGAATAAAGTCTAAATTAACATCTTTAAAAAGGAACATACATACATATATCGACTGTTAAACACTATACGCGCTCTTGCATTGCGCAGTTGGGTAAAAAAGTAGAACACAGAATTATGTAATTATGAATATCTTAGTTCAAATTTAAAACTTTATAGAACTTGTATTAAAGCGCATTGGTAAATTGAAAACGAGGAAATATAACGACCTACTAAGAATAATTTCATCCGTACATGTGTACCTACCATTTACGTTACAAAATCAGACATCCTTATCGTTGAGTGTCTATTGAAATCCTTATCAATATTATCTTTGTAAATATCGTTAGTTTCCCCCTGCTCGCCCCACCTAAGCCGAGGAGACTCGCTGGCGTCTACACTCACTCAGCTACGTATCTTTGAGTTGTCATAATGACGACATCGAAAGCAGGTAATTAAGTACCTACCTTTGTAAAAATAAACATAAAATATCAATCATAAAAAGTAACACGACGCTTTGGTTGTTTTTGTCCTCCGGAAAGTAAGATTTCCGTAGCTCTACGGTGTAGGGAATGGGGTCAAGCCAATGGTATCGCAAGTTGCCACATTTTTAGGGTTTCGTATCCAAAATCCATGACACTATTGAGAGAGAGAGAGAGAGGAGAGAGAGAAGTATTTTATTTTAAATATTTTACACACCAATATTACAAAAAAGTAAACAGACATTATGAATAATTTAAAATCATTTTTTCTAAGAACTTAAATACTATATAGGAAGTATAGAATAATATACAGGCTTCAAGGAATATATTTATATCCTGTCTTGCCGGCCAGTAAGCCGTTCCAACTATTATTTCCTTGTTTCAGATTTATACCCTTAACCGAATCTGCTCAACCACTTCAGTGATGGGATATGGACATGGACGAGCATTTATCCCCCTGCGGATGTAAAACGCTTTGCCGCCGCCACGTCCACCACGAACGCCACACCACACGTCAGGCTTGGGTGTTTCATAAAATCTATAATTACCTAATTTCGAAGCCCTGTTACTGTGCCCCGGTCTTAACCAGGTGTCGTTAATGGCTAATATATCTGGTGCAAGTTCCTATACAGCCACAATGAACTCCTCTTGCCCAGTATTAAGAGAACCAGTATTAAAAAGACCAATGATAAAACTTTTATTATAGATCATTTTTATTTATGTGAAATTCCATGTGTAACGAACAAGATATTATAGTAATCAAGTATACAGAAAGCTGTATACTGTGATTAATATAATATCTTGTGAGATGAAATGAATAAATGATAACAACAGACTTTGAGTTCTGAATGTACAGGTAGGTCGATATATTATGGCAAAGTAAAATGACTAGGCTTACAAAGCGACACAAAAAGCAATATGTAACAAGGATGTAGTAACACACATAATTAATGATACAATAGGTAGATATATTGTTTTAAACTTTCATGGTCACTAACATTATAGTAATATAAGTTATTTACGGGGTTGTTACCATGTACCTTGTTTTTAGCGAGTTTCCGATATTTCGGCACTGTTGCAAGCGCCATGATCATGGAGTAACTGAAGTAATTGCGGGTAGGCTGTTATTGGCAGACATATCGGTCTACCCTCCGACGAAGTCTTTTATTGCGTTCGATACCCGTACCACTGTTCACATTCTCACTATTCACTCGAAACGGTTCTCGACACGGTATCGAACGCAATAAAAGACTTCGTCGGAAGGTAGACC